AAGATGGGATATATTTGGTTTTCTCCCTTTAAGTAACTCATAGGGAGTCTTCTCTAAAAGAGGTCTCGTCATGCGCCTATTAATGATGTAACATGCAGTGTTTATAGCTTCTGCCCAGAAACTACGGCGCAGTTTACTAGAAAGAAGCATAGTCCTAGCCATATCTTCAAGTGTCCTATTTATTCTTTCAACTACTCCATTTTGTTGTGGAGTCCTAGGTCAGAGAAATTATGATCTATGCCATGTTCATCACAAAATTCAGCAAACTTAGCATTTTCAAATTCAGTTCCAAGATCAGACCTAATTGATGCAAGTTAATTACCTAGTTGTTTCTGTATTTTTCTAACAAAGGTAGTAAACATGTCAAATGCTTCATCCTTAGATGTTAAAAAAATGTCCAAGTAAACCTAGAGTAATCATCAATAAGCACCATCACATAGTTTTTTTACCACCTCTACTTAATGTTCTCATTGGACCACATATATCCATATGAACCAGTTCCATCGATCTGGTCGTGCTTATCATTTTCTTGCTTTTGAAAGAGGATCTTACCTGCTTCCCCCTTGCGCAAGCCTCACAAACTTTGTCTTCCTTAAACTTGATGTTAGGCAGCCCTATCACCAGGTCCTTGGAGACTAATTTGTTGAGTTGACTTAGACTTCCATGTCCAAGTCTTTTGTGCCATAGGAGGGGATCATTGTCCGACACACTTAAGCAAGTGAGTTCATTTTCTGAAAGAGTGGACAGATCACAATGTTTATATTGTTTACTCTTTTTCCCTGCAAAAAAATCTTATCGGTGGTAAGATTTATCATAAAACATTTGGTAGAGGTGAATGCTACCAAGTTACCTCTGTCACACAGTTGTCATACATTGATTAGGCTATATTTCAAGCCATCTATTAAGTAGACATTCTTAATGGAATATGAGTCTGTCTTACCTACCTTTCCAACCCCAATGATCTTACCTTTCTTACCATTTCCAAAGGAGACATTACCTCCTTTTTGAGCAGCCACTATCCATGTACCATATTTGGCTACTCCCCTTCACTTGAACCTGCAAAAGGAAATCAGGGGTTAGTCTTAGGAACCCAAACTAGTTTGGGTCCCTTTCTATAGGCAAAAGGGTAAATTAAATTCTTTTCAGCCCATCCTGGTAGCCTGCTTTCCCTTGAACAAAAGTTTTGTTCTTCTGCCTGGCCTTTTATTTTGCATTACATTCACTTTTATAGTGACCAGTCTTACCACAGTGTGTGCAGATTTTGTTCTCAGGAAGTGTGATATACTTGCTTTTGGGATCCCACTTAGGTGCAGGGGTCCCATAGCCAAGTCCTCTCTTATTACTACTATGGTTATCTTGTAGCCATGATAGTGCATCAGAGGACTTATTCCATTTGCAAGTTCTGTCTAGTTCATGCTTAACCTTACCTAGATCCTTTTTTAGGACTCTTATCTACTCATCCCCTTTTTGTACAACTCATCCTTCATTTTTTCTAGATTTTGTTCTGAGGTGAGGTGTATGTGATCAACTTTCTTTTTACCTGTTCCTAATTTTAATTTTAAATTTTCAGATCTAAGCTCTAACACAGTGGTGTCATGTTCAAGAACCTGGTTCTTTAACTTAGCATTTTTACTATCACTTTCACTAGCCCTGAGTTCCAGATTTTTGCACTTATCTTTTAAGATTACACATTCCTTAGACAGCTGTTCCTTTTTATTGTTTGTGGCCTCAGATTCATCAATGAAATCTATCAGTAACTCAGATAGCCTTTCTTTAGACAAAAATTTAATCTTGACTTTAAGATGAATCACACTTACCTCTGGCTCATCATCTGATTCTCCAATGGCCATAAGTACTTGTTCATCTCCATCTTCTGAATCCTCATCTGAGCTTTCTCCCCAGGCAGAAATCATAGCCTTTGTTCTTCCTGGGATGAACCTGTTTCTTTGTTCAGCCCTTTCCTTCTTCCATTCAACTTCCCATTGAGGATAATTTTTGATCATGTGGTCTGTCTTACCATATTTGTAACAGCCCTCGTTGGTCTGTTTTTCAGGGACCCTTGCTTTGTTGTAAGTTGCACCTCTTGAAGAACCCTTTCCTCTCATTAGATACTTCTTGAAATCCTTCGCGTTCATAGCCATTTCATCCTCCTCTAGATCTGCACTTTCAGTAATTCTGAGAGCCAGGCTTCTTTCCTTCTTAGGTGCATCCATCTTCATGGTTTTCCTTCTAAGTTCATAGGCAGTGAGATTTCCAATTAACTCGTCCAACTTGAGAGTGGCAATGTTCTTGATTCCTGAATAGCAGTGATTTTGCTTTCCCAAATAACTAGCAAAACCCTTGTTACAATTTTCTCAACCTTGTCTTCTTCAAGGATAATCCTTCCAAGAGACTTAAGTTCATTTGTTAGTGTTGTGAACCTTGTATACATCTCTTGGATCGTTTCTCCTTCCATCATGGTGAAATTCTCATATTGAGAATACATCAATGTTCCTCTTCATCTCTTCACTTGAGGAGTTCCTTCATGAGCCACTTGCAAAGTGTCCCAAATTTCCTTAGTAATAGTGCAGCTTTGAATTCTGCTGTACTCATCTGGACCAAGTCCACACACAAGCCATTTCTTGGCCTTAGCATTCTTTTCCCACTTCTTCAAGTCCTGAGCAGTGCAGTCAGCTCTAGTCTTTGGCACATCCAGTCCTTCAGCATTCTTCTTCATGGTAGCCAGGGGACCATCAGTAACAATGTCCCAGAGTTCATAGTCCTCTCCGATGATGTGATATCTCATCCTGTTTTTCCACCAGGAGTAGTACTGGCCATTAAAGAGTTGAGGCCTAGCAGTGGATTGTCCTTCCCAGTTTCCAGGTGGTGCACTCATCTTGATATGTTCCTAAGGTGTTAGCTTCTCAAGGATAATCTGCTATGATACCAACTGATGTTTTGTACTTCCATACCACACAAGAGGGAGGGGGTGATTTGTGTGGTGCCCAATTTTTCGCTTAACCTAATTATAGAAGGAACTGGTTCTTCTATGTGTTCCAACTACAACTGTTGCGGAATAATAAGTACAGAAATTAAAGAACACAAAGATTTTATGTGGAAAACACCTGGCTCAAAAGGTGAAAAAAACCACGACCTACTTTCCAGTAGGATTTTCCCAAACTCTCCACTAAAATCAATGAGCCAAAAACTGTATTTACAAAAACTCTTTTGTAAACCTAGGATTAACTCTAATCCCGTTGTAGCACATAGCCTCAACTGTTGCGACAACTTCAAGTTAACTCTAACTTGAAAACTCTGAGTACCTAATACAATTGCTTCTAGATAAAGCTGAAAGGTACAATATGAAAACAACTACTACAATTGAACTAGAATAAGAAACAGACACTTGGAACTGGTTCTTCTATCTGGTTCAAGTAGCTTCAGGTTTGCACGCTTGAATCACACACAAATTGCTTGTAAAATTGCCTTGCTATTTTTGCTCACAATTCACGTTTAACTTCTGCTTATGTGCGTTACCTGTAAAAGAGAACAACACTGATATTTATAGAGTTAGTAAATAGAGATTGACTAGAATTCTGATGCTACTCTTCCTTGGTGGAAGAGTTCTAGTTGATCTCAACCTCTAACTCTATCATTTTCTTAAACAGTGTTCTCTTTGAGTAAGGAGTCTTTTTCCTTATCCAATATGCAACCTTTTCGATCAAGATCAGGAGATATCACTTCTGGTAAGTTGGGTTTATCTCCTTCACGTGCATTCACATGCTTGGGTTGACCATATCTGTGCTTCACTAGGATGGACCCGGTCCATGTCTGAGTTACTTTGTCAATCTTCAAAACTCTCCTTTACTTGGGCCAACAATATCCATATTATCCGCTGGTTAACCAATTTCTTATCCGTATTAAATATGGGTTGGGTCGGATAATTTGTCCATTATTGCACTACCCATTTTCGACCGCCCATATCCGACCCGCTCGTTTGCCACACAGACCATTAGACATTACCAACGAAGTCTGTATGACTGTTATAGCTACTTGAGGATGTTCACAAATTATAGGTTTAGAACAGGCTACAAAAAATAAAACAGACCACATGTTTAGGCTACACCAGTTAATCCAGAATACAAAAGTATACAGAACTTGGTGAGTCTAGCAGATGAGCAAAGTAAACAGAGATCATCAATACTACCTTAATTATTGAAACACTCGAGAAAGAGAGAAAAGAAGGACCATGAATCAACTGGTCACGACCATTATCTTCCATGGAAACTCTTCGGGAAGGTTATATATTAAAGCAAAATAAAAAACTTACATTTTCTGTAGGTCATTGCAAGCCTAGATTAATACCAACTAGGGAAAGGGGTCTTTGGAAATGTCAATAATCCAGCTGTACACGAAAAACACATCATATTTCTGAAGATTAAATGAAGGAAAGTTCGATTAGTCTCACAAGTTTGTTTGTGAATTTATATCAATTACAGATCATTCAAGTTAAGATTAACTGAGACTATTATTTCATACACAGAAAGTATTTGTTAGAGCTAATCCAGGAAGCCTGAGATTAGCCCTTACAACTTAAAAAATGTTAATTTGCAAATTTCCTTGTTGATACAAGTCCTTTCAAATTTAGTATTTTATCGCGAATTTCTTAATTCCAAAATACTCTTTCCAAAATAGAACTCCTAAAAACTCCTTCTCTATTCTATTTTCGTCATTCGTTCTTCTCCTTGAACAAATTCTTTTTTAATTTATATTTTTTGTAAAAAATAAGATATTTTAGTTATTTTAACAGAAAAGTTATTTATCATAATTCTTTTACCAATCACATCAACTTCTCAATTTTGATTATTTCGACACAAACACATAACTGTTCTTTTATAAAATAAGTTTCAGCAACAAGAAGTGCATTTCTAACACTTAACTCTTATCAATTACCTCAATAAGCTAAACCAAACGCTTTCTAGTAGTAATTAAGGGCCGATGATTTTTTTTAAAATAAACAGTCTGCAAAACATTAATTGATGATCATTGGATGAAACACGATATTCATGATACACAACCATTGAAAACCAAATTAAAGACAGTCACAAAAACACATTTAAATATCTCTAACAAGAATAGAGACAATAGAACTATTATTCTCACTCTATATTTGTCATACAGAGTTCAGTTTTGCTTGATATATTATATATATTCCCATACATCATGCTGTCTTTTACTTCACCATTGAGCAATCGGCTTTAGGGCTAATCTTGAAGGGAATATTTTTGACGCCACATTTGCCAGGAAGGGCAGCAGCATTCTTAAAGTTGATACCACTAACACTTGAGGCAGCGGTTTTCAAACACGAGCAAACACTCCGGCGATCCGCCGTGGTCTTGGCGGCGCCATAGAGGGATTTAATCCCCTTGCAGCAAGTCGGCGGCACCTTACCGCCGTTCATTACGTAGCTAAGGCACGGAATTAGGCTGTTGACCACCGTGCTACATGTGATTGCCGCTTCGGCGTGCGGTGGCGATTCTGCTAATAATACCATGTAAAGGAGCAGCAGAGAAAGAGGTTTAACAAGCTTTCTCGAGATGGCCATTGGTATTTGATATTAATACGCAATGAATACAACAAAAATGGATGATTATATTATTAAAATTGTTGGTCTCAAAAGGGAATGAAGCTCTTGGTAGACATGCTGAAAGGTGATGGCCATTATATATAGGAGTGCAGATTGATTGGATAAAGAATCTTTACATTGGCAGATTTAGTTTAATTTTGCCGACAAAATTATGCTGAAATTATAATGCAGGCATTATGATATTAGCAGTAGTAATTCTTGAACTATTTAATACCTACAATTTATTGGTTCATCGTATAAAATGCTATATGCATTATATAATTTAAAATATTATTTGATTTTAGGCTGGATAAACTTTTATTTTTAATTTAACGTTAACTCTCTCAATAACATTTTAAGAAGAATGACAATTTTTATCATTTTACTTGTTTTTATCCAAGTAGAGTTAATACTTAGCATTAATACGAAGATCAGAAATTTCTTAGAACCGAGGTACATAATGCTTTTTATTTGGTATAGAGTAATTAAATTAGAACGTTTGGAAGTTACTACTATTAAAATTGAGAAGATGGTGTAGGCATTTTGACATTACTATTTAAATCAAAATAAATCTCATACGCTATAAGAACATAAATTTATTTTATTCCTAACCAACAATGTGCTAAGTGTTTGACCATGGGAATAGGTAAGCAAAATTGGAAGGGTGTGTCTCCATCACCGAATGCAGGAGTACATTTTGAATAAAACTTGGCATTATAGCTACTGATGCGAAGAAAAAACTAATACTAATAATAACAAATAAATAATTAAATTGAAACAGAAGTTTCTAAAAGTAGTTACTTGCTTTCTTCCACTAATTAGTGCTTCGAATTATTATGGCACCTTGCTTTCACCTAATCCAACTCAGATTTAAAGATCAAGATGTCAATCATTTTAGAGAAATAGAAAGTAGTTTCTAGTTCTAATATATTTTTTCTCCTTATCAGCTCTTTCCCTTTTGCGTTTCTACATGTATACGGTCAAAATCGGGCTTCCCTAATTTCGTATGGCTAATCGAAATCAGGGTGGCAGACCAAAGCTCGGCCTCGCATTGTATTTAGCCATGGCACGGAGATGAATCGCTAAGCTCATGAATCAATGACCGATCAAGATCGAGACAAGCCATGATCGAGACCGAAGCGGGATAGAGATCGAGCGAGATTGAAGGAAGCCTGCTAAGTCGAATAAAAGAAAGCCGAGATATCCGTGATTGGACAAGGATCGTGGTGAAAATCTCGGCATGTGTCAAGTCAAGACCGATTATTTAGCCAATCATAGGATTTCTTTCTGTATTTAGAATTGTACCATAAGCAGAATTCTTTTACTATATAAAGGGGATTCTAATCATTTTGTTACCATCATATTCACGCTACATAAGCTATATATTCATTTTCTCTTAAGCTCTCAATAGTCTTGTTACTGTGTTCATACATTCTGGCGAAACATTAACTTAATTCGAGGGCAGTCTAGCTCAAGGATTAAAGCAATACATTTTATTTGGGTTGCATCATTTATATTCGTAATTAATTTCATTGTCAAATTACTTTTTCTCTCAAATTGTGCTAAGTAAATCACGTGTCCGTAAAATCACAGTATAAATTTAATTGTTATCTATTTTTAGGGTAAATAGTTTGGCGCCCACCGTGGGGTTAAGAATAATAGTGATTGTCTGATATAAATTTTTGTAACACACACTATTTTATGTTTGTTCTTCAAAGTGTCTTTGATTACAGGATTAAAAGATGTCAAACTCTCAGTCCGCACCTCAACAAATTGACAATGATCACAGCCACCACGGCGAGAATGAGAACATTGCACCAGGAAACGTTGCACCCCCTGCTGGCCTCGATGCGGTTCCGACTGTAGACCCAACCGACATCAGTTCACATGTAGCCATCAATGGAAATGTGTTCGTCGATCCCAAAAGCAGCGTTCGTGGGGGTACTCGATCAACTACTCAGAATGCGCATGGCGGTGAAGATAGCGGGATTAGCCTGCAGGTAATCTTCGAAATATTGTAGGCCCAACACACAGCAATAGCTCAATTCCAAAATCAAAACCACATGCCGAGCAGGGTCAAACTCGAGTCGTCCCAAGAAGTTGTGCACATGGTCGAATCGACTTCNAGAAAATCGAATCTCGGAGACCAATCTTGCTATTATAATAATTCTCGAAGAGTTGACGAAGCGAATCGAGACAGGAGAAAAGAAGATCGAGGAAATTGATAAGAAAGTGGAAACCTATAACTCTAGGGTGGACCAAATCTCGGGGGCACCACCGATATTGAAAGGACTAGATTCTAAAATGTTTATGCGAAAACCCTTCCCCCCAAGTGCGGCTCCGAAACCAATCCCCAAGAAGTTCCGTATGCATGAGATTCCTAAGTGCAGTGGGACGACTAATCCAAATGAACACGTCACCTCGTACACGTGCGCCATCAAAGGAAATGACTTGGAAGATGACGAAATTGAATCTGTATTGCTGAAGAAACTCGGGGAGACCCTATCGAAGGGTGCCATGATATTGTATCATAATTTGCCACCTAATTCTATTGATGAGTTTGTTATGCTTGCAGATTCTTTTGTAAAAGTGCATGCCGAAGCCATTAAGGTTGCATCAAGAAAGTCGGGCATTTTCAAGGTAAGGCAGAATGATAACAAGATGCTCAGGGAATTCGTATCTCGGTTCCAAATAGAAAGAATGGATTTCCACCAGTCACCGACGATTGGGTTGTTCAAGCTTTCACCCAGGTCTCAACATTCAGAGTTCCATAGCTTCACAGCAGTTGAAGCAAAATTTGATCAAGTATCCAGTTATCACTTGGGCCGATTGTCACACCCCTTTTTCTAACCCCCGAAAGATATATGTGTAGATTTATGGGTTAAAGAGTTTTTCTAATTAATGTGACGAATTTGAGTAGGGATTATTTTATTGTTCAGAGTCGCCACTTGGAATTGATTTTTTGGTGTTCCAAGTCACCTTTTATTTGAATCCCTATTCAAAGGAAGATTTGACTCTTTTATATCGGCCCACGAAAACAAATTCGGGTAAGGAATTCTGTTGACCGCGGAGAAGGTGTAAGGCATTCCCCGGGTCCCGTGGTTCTAGCACGGTCACTTTATCGGCTTAAAATTTGGCTTGAATTAATTTTGGACAAACCGTGATTTATATAATTTTCATGTTTTACCTATCCGCTTTTATTTCTTGATTATTAGAAAAATTAAAGAATATTTTGAATAATAAGATGTCCTAACCACACTACGCCAGCGAATGCGTGATCGGTAAAATTTATTATTTAGTCATAACAGTGCTACGCAAGCGAATCCGCCGTCATGAACAAAAGATTATTTGCACGCTATTTACTTTTGAAAAATTATTATTACAATTGTGCTTTGAAGAAAAATTAACTTTGTGGAAATCTATTAAAAGTCACTACCGCGCTACGCAAGCGAATCCACGGTTGAAAAAGATAACGCACCTATTAGCTGCCTAACGTTTAAAATAATTTATTTGTGAAAAACTAATTTCATCAGCGGAGCCTCACATTTAAAAGATTGGGTCGATACTCAGTTAAAAGAAAAATAGGCCAACAACTTATCCATCTTTATTGTGAAAGAATATAATCTTTTGTAAATAACAACAAACACCACCCAATATAATTCCACAAGTGGATACTCTTTTGTAAACTAAAAATAGTAAAATAACATATGAATATTTTATTGACATTGGACCTTATTATAACTTATTATTATTGTCATTACTAGCATAACTAGTATAGGCCAAACATTTTATAGAGAGAAAAATAAAAATCATATCTTAATGTTCATGCCTAAGACAAACAATTTGTCGACAATTTTATGATTTCACTTTAAGGCCATGTAAAGGCAATAAGAAAAGGTAATTTAACAAAAAAAACAACATGGTTAATTCTAGAAAGAAACTACGGCCAAGAGCCCTTTTAAAAGTTAATGTTTCAATTAATTCTTTCATTAAACTATGTTTTGAATTACTACACCATGTAACATATCAACACCCCAAATAACACATGTAACCACATGACAACAAAAGATATTAAAAAAAAGTTAGTGATATGCCTAAAAGGAAAATACTTTGCTCAAATACCACTGTTCTTCTCTTGAAGCACCATGGTGGTTCACTTATTTGATGCCTCGCTATTTTTCATATCTCTATTTTTTCTAGCATATAAAACTACTCTAAGTTAATAACTTTATACAAATTCTATAATCAAAATCAAAATACTAGTTTCTGGTAAAGCATCGTAAATCCTAAACACAACTTACAGATCTAA